ATTGGCTTTTATGCTGAGAGATTTTATTAACCTAATTAAAAGTTTTATAAAAGTAAATTATATTTATGTTTGTGTGTCCTATTTGCAATCATTAGGGAACCCAGACCACCTCCGGTGACTTCAGAGAGGGCTGGTCAGGTCCCATCTGTGTAAATCTTGTGAGTTGTCATGGAGTCATTGCATTTGATTTACATGTGAAACCTGCGGACTGAGCACAAATGCTAACCAGACAGCTGATAAATAACACAATACTAAAGCAACACTTTTGCATTTCTTTAACTCCTTTCTTACAGGAACCTCCAAGTGTTTTTCAGACTTTAAAGAATTACCCTCCTGAGTAAAAAAGAATTACTTACAATTTTATCCACAACACCAGAATACTAATGTATTATAGACCTTATAATGTTTATCAGTTTGGTGCCTGGTAACATCAGTAATGGACTGAGGGTCATCACACAAGTTTTTAAAACACAAACCTGTCCCAAACATCTCCCATTTTCATCGATTGACAAAGGTAGTCCTTTAAACTCACCACTTATCTGCTGAGACATGTTTATGTAGGTCTAATGCATGTGAAAACCAAATATGCTCAAGTTACCCAGGAAGTGGCTTAAATCCACTGTGAATTTGGTTTTAGGCAACCAGTTTCATTCTTCTTTGCAGCAGTCTAGAAGCATGTATACACTCAGTTATCAAGTCTGAGCTGAGGGCTGTGCCTCAGCTGCCTGTGGTTGACTTACTCATACCCTAAATCTTGTACTGCTTTGGGTGATGAGCCTTAAAATGAGGTAGCAATTCCAGCTTTACAACCATAGACAAAGAGATGTTGTACAGCAAAACAACTGGATCAGATGTAAAATACAAAAATTTCCTACTGCTCATTTCCTACTGTATAGCCATAAGTCCTAGGAGACCTGCAGCATGACCCAGAAGAAATTTAATGTGAATATTTGGGAAAAAAAAGTTATACAGAAATGGGTCAAAGTTTGCATGTAAAAATCACTTGGTTCAGCTCCACTGTCCAGTAATGCTATGGGGAAGTTTTTCAAGATCTTTCTTCAGAGGTACATTGGGATGAAGTAAGATTTCTCTCTGAGAGCATAAAGGGAATAATGTGGTTAGTGATGGCACAGAGGCTGTAACAACCTGCTGCTTGCTGCAATGCAAACAGCAAACAGGCACACGGATTTACACAGCTGATAGCTCTGGTCCTTCTGTCACTGTGCCTCTTGATGCACTTCTGACAGTCTCTAGAAAATACTGTCAGTATAACCTGTCTGTCTTCCTTATATGCTTTACTTTGGCTTGTTTGGCCCTAAGGAACTCTATTAAGACTTCAGTGGCTGCTGGATCAGGCCTTGGGTTCTCTCTAAGTGTTATGCACCTAGGTTAAGCAGCTTCCATGGGGGAAGAAACAGATGCCAGGAGTGTAACAGAAAGGATCTTTTGAAGAAAAAGTTGTGAACCTATTAGCAACCAGTATGTACAGGGCTGAAAGCCACCTTGATGGTGGGGGGACTGGGACAGCATATAGGGTGACATCAACCATGTGCTGCACTGGTTGTTGTTCGTGGCTGGGCAAGGGAAACACATGCCAAATTCCTGTCTGTTTTTCAGCTTGTGATGTGTTTCTTGATGTAGTTGTTGTTGATTATTTGGAAATATTCACTTTAAAAGATCTAATGGTTGCTATAGCTATTCTAGGAGCAGGGTTTTGATGGTCACTGCTGCAGAAAAAGTAACCTCTAGATAGTGTTACAATAAATAAAATTAAACAAATATGTATTCAGTATTGCTATTATTATTATTATTATTATTATTATTATTATTATTATTATTACAGCAGTGTTTAATTACTGAAAAGTAAACCAATCAGATTTAGATATTTTCAGAATTAAAGCTGACTGTTTGGCTTTAATTTTAAACCACTTATGAATATGGTTTCTATTAATATTCATTATGCAATTGCCTTTTTGTTTTCCTGTAAGATCCAGGGTTTATTCTGAACAGAGAATGGGTGGTGCTTATTGAAAAAGCTGCTATTTCATATATTGTTCTATTTCCATTATTTTATCTGTGCAATTTTAATATATTTTGATCAATAGGATGGATTACAGCTTCATTTACTTTACAAAAACTTGCCAGTTTTACCTGAAAGTGCTTTTTCATTTTGTTAAGGTATTTCTTGAATGTTTCTGTAATTAGGACGTGCAGAATGAGTAATTCTGCAATCCCATAGAGGTGCTCCATAAACACTAAGAATTGTCAAGTTTCTTATAACACTCATTAGGGTGCTGTCAACACCATGTTAATCAATCAAAACCAAATTTTGCCAGGTTTTATTTCCATCACTGTTGGATCAAATGAAGCCTGAGTCATCATTAAACAGAACTTTTTGCATCTTCTGGTTGCTTTGAGCTATGATGTGAAGTTAGGTGCTTTTCAGCCCCAGTCTTAGACTATGCAGGCTTACATCCCAGAATCCTATTTCTCTGGCTCTAGAAGTGTGTGTCCCCTGCTTGATGAGTGCAATGCTGAGATACTGCCTGGCAGAAAAAGGATACCCATGTTATCACAGCCAGGGTGAAGTCTGATCAAATTAAATGCTGAGTAACAGGATACATCAGCTTAGTGGAGTTGTGTGCTAACCTGATTGCTCTGCCTGTGATCCTGACTCGACTCACTTGAGTGTCCCCCCATGACATTGCCTGGTGGTAAATGACATGTATCAACTAACAACAGGACTGGCAATCCCAGGAAGGAAGGCAGGGCTCAGCAGTGACATGGTGTGATGGAAATACGTGGCAGAGTTGTTGTCCAGGCTGTACTTTCATCATGGTTGTAGATCGTGGTGGATTGTGGTACCTTCTAACAATACAACTTCTTTTGGTTTTGTTGTTAACTGAAGTAGGAGATGACTTTCAGAGTGAAAACAGAGCCATTCTTTTAAGCAAGAGACAGAAAGGGAGAATACTGACTGTATTTGGGAAAGGTAAAACTTTTAAGTGTAGTCTAATACCTTAGGGAAGTGCCTTTGATGCAAGAGATGCTGTGTTTTGTAGATGATTTCCCTTCCCCTGCTTTATCATACAAGGTGACATCCTAGACTGCACTTTCTGGGTTTCAAATTTTTGGACAGTTATGAACAATTATATACCTTTTTTTTTTTTTTTTTCCTGCTGCAATGGGAAAAAGGGTGAAAATCAAGTTAGAGAATACCTGAAGATGAGTCAGGAATGTTCTGTGTTCTCCTGTAGAAGAATGGGAGCAGTTACTAAACCAGAGCTTCACCTTCTGACATTAAAATAAAATAAATCAAAAAACCTCCTCTGGTGCATAAAGCCAGAGTCGAAGGATGACTTGGAGTCACTTAGGTTTTTCACCCACAGGGAAATTTCAGCCCTGCCACTAAAATAGGCCTTATGGAATTTTTTATGTTAAAAAAAAATTAAAACAAGATGTTTAGCAATTTGAATTTTTCCTTGCAAATTCAATAGAGTTGTACCTCATTTTTAAATAGAAAATGGAAAACTTGAAAAAACAGAACAGGAACACAGTCATTAAAAAAAAAAAAAACCAAACTACTGTACATAAAGGTTGTATTTTTTGTGAGAATTGGTCACAACATGCTCACCAAGAGCTGCTGGTACTTCACCATCAGGTCATTCTGATTCATGGGCAATTTACATTCCTCTCACAGTGCTTTTCAATAAACAGCTAACTCTGATCTATATTATAGTTAATTCTAACAAGCCAGATTTCTAAAGGTTTATCCATCTAGCTTAAATGAACTTCAGTAATCTTTGTGCACAAAACACCCACATAGGCTATTTGTCTTGGATTTGACTGTTTGGCAAAAAGCCTCACTTAAGCCTTGAGCATGAGAGCTTAGTGAAAAATGCTGCCACTCCTGGGGTGGGGGTTGATGTCCAGGGCTGACCTCACCCTCTGTACTTAGCTCTGAGCTCCTTGCAACAGCAGAGAAACCACAATGTTTGTCATCTGGCAAACCTGTTGCTTGAAAAAGAAAATCACTTTAGTAACATACTTCAACAATTATAGTACATTTTAATTAGATGTATATCAAATTGCAGTTCAATTTTTATTAGTATATAAAGTTTCCAAAAGAAACTCAAACCAAAATCCCAACCCAATGCCATTCACTGTAAGAGTTTCGGGAGAGACCCTTGCTAGTAGTGGTCTGTCCTCCTGCACCTGTGGAATATGGGTGGGTTTTGGCTGTTGGAGCATACTTTGATTTGATCATCAGGGAATTGGGTTGGCAACTAGACAACAGGCAAAAATAGGCAAAAATAAACATCTCACTGCATCCCACTGTCACATCAGAATAAAAGATAAAGGATTTAGACTGTCAAAGAGGAGCAAGACAGCGAAACAGGCAAGCTGGAAGAGCAGAACCTGCTACCAGTTCAGGGATGGGACAATACTAACATACAGATGCAGTGGAAGAAACATTTAAAGCAGAGGAAAATGCCAAGCCTGGTGAGCTGTACCTGCTTCAGACAGTTATCAGATGAGTCTGCTTTTTTCCTTGTATTTTGGCAAGACTTACATAGCTTGTCTTGCCAGTAAATTCTCATCTAATTGAATTGACAAGCATGGACATTTTTTAAATGAAAGTTTCCAATCTGCCACAAATTCAACTGGTTATATTTTATTGTAGTGTAGTGTCTGCCATATGAGTTAATATATTGAGTCACTTAGAGCTGCTGAAGAAGAAAGCTGATAAAATATCTTTGCACTGACAGAGAGAGTAGACCTGTGATCTTTTTAGGTCATTCTTTCTGGTACTGTGCTGGCTTTAAACCCCTTGTGTTTGGTTTGGCATGAATGTCTCCTTTCATTATTATTCTCATCCCTAATTCTTTCCTCAGCTTTAGGCAGTGAGTTCTTGGCTGCCAGTTCCTCCCACCCATTTCATTGTCTCTTTTGCTGATCATGAAGCACCAAGAGTGTGTGTTCAAAGAGGTGAGTCCTACCAATTTTGAGAAGTCCTGATGGGCGCTGGTCAGCCTCAATTCCAATGGAATTTAACAACAGTGACGGTTTCTCAGTGCTTCTGCAGTCGGCAAGATGAAACTATAAGTTGGCAATTAAAATTAAGTAATTAAGCATTAGGTATTATGAAGTATCTTGAAACACCTCTATCTTTCCCTCCCTCTTCCCCCCTTGTTGTTGAGACATTTCCAAAAAGCCTAATTTTCTACAATTTCTATTATGTGTGAAATTGTAAATTTACCTTTTATGCTTCTATTTCCATATTTCTGAAGTGTGTGCTTTCAAAATGTGTGTCTATGTGAATATTATTTATTAAGACTCCTTTTGGAGGGATTAGAGTCTATTATGCCAGTGAATATAAAATACTAAGTAGTCTTTTGTATGGAAGGCACATCCAAAATCACAGAATATGCTGAGGTGGAAGGGAGGCACAAGAACCATCGAGTCCAGCTCCTGGCCCTGCACAGCACCACCCCCAAGAGTTGCACCATGTGCCCAAGAGCATTGTCTAAATGCTTCTTGAACTCTGTCAGGCTTGGGGCTGTGACCACTGCTCTGGGGAACTGTTCCAGTGCCCAGCCACCCTCTGTGTAAAGAACCTTTTCCTAATATCCAACCTAAATTTGCCCTGACACAACTTCAGGCCATTCCCTCGGGTCCTGTCACTGTCACCAGAGAGCAGAGATCATTGCCTGCCCCTCCTCCTGCTCTCACAAGGAAGTTGTAACTGCAGTGGGGTGTCCCCTCATTCTGCTCCAGGCTGACCAGACCAAGTGACCTCAAACACTCCTCACACGGCTTCCCCTCAAGGCTCTTTATCTTCATTGCTGTCCTTTGGAAACTCTGAACAGCTTTACATCTTTCTTATATTGTAGTGCCCCCAGCCCTAGAGGTGAGGCCAGTGCAGAGCAGATCAGGACAATCCCCTCCCTTGCCCAGCTGGCCATGCTCTGCCTGATCCCCCCCAGGACAGGGTTGGTCCTCCTGGCTGCCAGGGCACTCTTGGCTCATGTTCAACTTTGCCATTGACCAGACCTGCAGGTCCTTTTCCATGGCACTGCTTTCCAGCACCTCACTCCCCACTCTGTCCACACACCCAGGGTTGCCCCATCCCATGTGCAGAACCCATCACTTTCCCTTGTTGAACTTCACACGGTTGGGGATTGCCCAGTCCTGTAATTTGTGTCTCTGCAGGGCCTCTCTGCCTCCAAGGGAGACAATAGCTCCTCCCAGTTTTGTATCACCTGAGAACTTGCTTAGTATCCCATCCAGGCCTGCATCCAATGTTAGCTATTCTGAAGATTTCCTATGTGCTGGGAAATTATATTTGTGTATTTTGTATGTTAGCACACACATGTATGGGAGTGTGTTGTGCCAGTGTGCATACCTGGTGTATTAATACTTGCAAATAGAGCTGCTGTATATACAGTTTTAGAACAGTTTGCCAAGTTTTACTCAACTGAACTATGATTTTTAAATGACAAATATTTGCTTGGAGGCTACATGTATTCCAAGATTCAATCCTAATTGCCACTGCAATATCTGAGTTAGGGAGCCATGAAAAATGAAATATATACTGCAAAGCAAGAAGAAAAAAGTTAGCTTTTGCAGTTTTGCCAGGTAAGTACTTAAATAGTTGATTCTAAGCTTGCTACAGTAATTTACAATTACAATTACCTGCTACAATCTGTATATTGAATGATGCTGTTTAGGAAAGAGTTTTATCTGATTGCAAGGAGCACTTAAAAAAAGGCACTTTTACATATCACACCATTTGGAGTTGTGACTGTCAGGATCTGATCCAAAGCCTACTGAAGGCAATGGAAAGAGACCTGTTAACTTTAAAAACTTCGAATTGGACCTGAATGACAGCATTAGATAGATCTTTTTTCTCATCTTAAAAGTAATGCGGACTCACCTTTTAAGTTTTGAAGGTTAAATTCTATCCGGATTATCATGAGCTAAGAGCTAAGGATCTTTCGTGTGCCATGAGCTATATGATATTAAACCTCTTCATAACATTAATTCCTCATTGAAAATTCTTCTGTTCTTCAGTGGTCACGGGAAGCTGAGTTAGAAATAGAGTCCACAGTCTTTCAGATTCTTTGCCTGCATAGAAAAGGAAATTATAGAAATTATAGAAAAGTTCACTTCTTGTCTCAGTCACACCTATGTCACCTCAGTCACACCTATGCTTGGATAAAACAACCCTGTAATTGTATTGTTGTAACCCTAGTCTTTTACCCCATATGGCTCTTATCAGAATTTTTTCTACGAAAGCAAAAATACAGAATGAGTCTCTCTTGATTATACCATTGCACCACAATTATCTCCTTGCGGTACAGAAGGCACTGCCAATCACCCCTCTTGGTAGCAACATTTAAAGGTTAGGTTTGGAGCACTTAGAAACCAGGGACTGTATGTCCTCTGCCTGCCATAGCACCTGCAGTGAATTGATCATACTTGATTACAATACATGAAATCCCAGCCTGCAATACAGCAGTTATATTGCAAAGCTTGTATGTAATCAGGGGAAAAATCCAAGTATCTTGCTGTGTCACAGTAGGGTTGGAAGGTAGAATAAAAAATATGGGTTGTCTGGAGGTACAGAGGGAAGCTCAGAGGTTATGATAAGCTCAGGAAAGTGCCTTTTATTGTGTCTGTCCTAGCAGAAATCCCTAGACAAGCCAACAGCTTGAACCTGTGCAATATCTTCCAAGAAAGGGAGTGTCCAAGGAAAGACATGATGTGAAGCAGCAATACCACCCCTGAAAAGGGAACCCATGGTAAGGAGGATGACCATGGTGGAACGGTTGTAGGATATCAAATACACACACCATGAGACAGTTCTGTGTAGCAGTGGGGATTTTAGTGCTGCACAAAAAAAACACTGAGAAATTAACTGCTGCAACAGATTACCTTAAATCCCTTTAAAGACACAGGTAACATCTGCTTTCACAACAAAATCCCAGAAATCTTTATTACCATTTCATCTCCAGGTTTATTCTTCTTCTTGACATCCCTCATATTAGCATGGGGGATGCTCATTAGATCCATAGCATGTCCACAGCCTGGATGTGAACTGTTTGTGCAGCAGGTGTAATGTGTCCGAGATGTTGGAGTAATTGCTCAGGCATTGCAAAGTTGAGTCAGACATACCATAGGGTATTTGATCCTGAATGCCATGAGATGCAACTCCTATTGGGCTGACTGATGTTAGGAAATGATGAAAATCTCAGTATTCAGAAACCTCCAATGGAGTTTCCTCAGATATGCTCCTGGAGATAAACCACAACTCAATTTAGGCCAATGAGTGCCTACCTTCATCACCTGCTATTATATTTCTACTCTTCCCCTCTTAGGGCCCTTTTCTTGTACCTTAATCCGGAAACTACACAACTTAGGTAAAACATCTGTTTCTCTAGCTGAAAAATTGTAGCAATAATAAAATCTCTGACATGATTTCATTCTTTTCTTCAAATATGTGCCAGAATCTTAGTGTATGAGGAATTTGTGCAAAGATTTTGGTGATAATCAGTACTTTTTCTATTCTAAACAAGATCCTCCATAATGATAATGGACACAATGAAGACAAAATGCATACATTTTAGTCCATTTAATTCTTGTCTTTTGCAGTTTTGCTCACTGAATTTACTGGTATGATGAAACGCCTTTCTGCTAAGTGTAGAAAAATACTTGTCATATTAAATACAATTAAATGTGAATATAAGCCATATTAATTAATAAAGCTAAGTTATCTATGCAAATGTATGTACAATATTGTTAATTTCAGTTTGCCATTACTTAGAAGTTAATCCTTGACTATATAGCAAAATACAGTCATACAAAACCCAGTCCAGTAAGCTGGATGGATGAATACTTCATTATTCTGGGCGTTAGTGTTTGTAGGAAATGAAGCTGCTAAACATCTTTCAAGACAAGCCCCTGGTTTTCCAGCTTCTGTCCCACACAACCTGCAGCCTGGTGAAAGATCTGAATCACAAAACAGAAGAATGCATGTAAAGCTGGAACCACTAATTGAGAGTCCTCTATCACCTGCAGCCCAGCTTTGTGTCTTGTTAAAGGTCAAAGGGCAGAAGATCTGAAGGCTTTTCTGCAATGAGTTGCTGGTTGACACAGAGCAAGCTTAAGTGCAGTTAATAAAGTTTGCTCTGAACCTGCACTTTCTGAGAACCTTACATAAATACCATATATCTACTTCATTTTGTTGAAAGCTTTGTCAGTGTTGGACTGCCCAGGCAAGTGCCAAAATACGTAACCAGTTTTACAAATGAATAAGGTTAACAGGTATCTCCCTGCAGAGCAACAATTTCTCTTTTATGAACCCCACCTGAATTGGCGAGTGCTGCATGGACATACAGTTTTCAGCCTGCAGCCAACGTTTAAGCAATAATCCAAAGTGACAGTTTTATGACAGTTCTGAGTAACTCAGGATCTTTTCCTTCTTTTTTAAGTGAGATCCACATACAAGCAATTTACAGATGCTGAACAAAGGGAGGACTCTCCTCAAAGAGCAGTGAGGTATAACGAAATGACCAATCCTTCAAAATGTTTAAGAGGTTTAAATCAGAATGCCATTTCCAGGTTAACACTTCTGATCTTTAAAGTATCAGCATAATAAATGTGTTAATGACAATTGACAAAGTTACCCTTCCTGGGCAGCTAATTACATCTTAACTCACAGAGCTAGTATCTCTCTACATTTCAGTCTGCAATCCTTCACAGAGCTCAGTTAAAGGGATATATGTGTTGTTACTATGTTCGGGTCAAGCTCCCCTACTATTAAATACAAAAGCAATTTTTAAAGCAATGATATGGCTGACATACAAGCCCATAAAACCATAAGAAATACCAGTTAAATCTACAACTGGCCCCTCTGCTCAACTCTGTTGTGTCTAAACATTTCAGTCCATGGGGACCAATAAAGGAAACTCTGCACAGTAGATGATATTACATGATCCATGTGGTCATTTGTAAATGCTGTAGTACAAAAAATGCACCAAGGAATTCTGAGGTTTTTATATTAGTATCTTGTTTGGTTTGGTTTTCTCAGTTGCAAAGTAATGGATCACCATAGATTGGATTTTTATTAGATTACTGTGCTGTCCTTTTAAGGAGGTGGTCCCCTCTAGAGACTGTGGCAAAACACATTATAGAAGATAATCTAGCATCTTCAGGGATCTGACTAGAAAAGAAGGACAAAGTCCTCATTTAATTCTACATCCGTAGAACACTTTAGCTAGATCTTTGTCGGCTAAACGAAGGATTCCCAATTGTGGCAACAATCTCACTTATGGGCTTCTCTAGAATTCTTTAGCTAAACAAATGAAAACACCATGAAAGTGCATGGTGTTTGCAACAATTTATCTGCAATGCTATGAATAAAGCTGATTGCAAGTGCTTACTTATACATTTCCCTGTGGAAATTTTTTCCTAAATGGAAATGAGTATCTGCTTTCCTGTAAAAAAAGGAAAACATTTAAGAGCCCTAGGTCTCGAACTAACATTTGAAGTGTTTTGGCAGTTGTACCTTTTGTTTTCCTTTTGACCAAATGTACAGTATTTTTCACTACAGAAGAAAGTACAGCAAATACTAGGTCATACGGGTTAACAAATATTACTGTAGAGTTGCGCAGGTCCCACTAAAACCAGTGCCCTGAAGCATGTCCACAGTAGCATTTCAGGTATGAAAACACTGCTTAAGTAACCATGCTTGCAGAGCTAAGAGAAAGTGGTTTTCTACAGCTACACACCAACAGAGAATTGCCCTTATACCTATTAACTTGTTTTTTCAGATGGAGCCAAAGGCCTGTACACTCCTTGCCTCATGCTGACGGCTTTTCTTTCTGTGCCTACAGCCAAAGTTCAGCAGTCCTACAGAGGTAATACACTTTTGCTTTTTAACTGTTCCTTTTATTTCTGTGATCACAAACATTTTAATTATGCTATAGCAATGCCTGTATTTAAGCATATAATAGGTATATAATGTTCTCTAGAACAAAAGATTTGAAGTCATATAATGGTATTGCACAGTATGTAGCTCTCACGTTGTTACTCAGATTTGCCATCTAGAAGGTTTTTGTTCCCTGCTCTCTCTGATTCAACCTTTGTGGCACAACAGTTAAAGAGGCTTTGAATACAGTGTCGGGAATAGACAGCCTGGCAGACAAGCAGGGGTCTTTTCCTTCTCAAATACATTTCAGCATGACACAAATGTGAGCTTTGTATTAGCCCTGTAAAGGTTTCACAGCCCCTGGTTGCAGGTGCAGGAGGAACATGCCCAGGACAGAGAAGAAGGCTGAGCAGAGCCCCGTGCACATGGGTGGCTGCATCTGGGGACACACCACAGAGCTGAGCTTCACCAGCACTGCTTTGTACACCCTTCCCTGCCACCATGCAGGCTGCCAGGCAATAGCTGATGGTGCAAAAATCCAGAGACAGCTTTTCTCTGCCTTCACAATCCTCAAAGATGTATAAGTAGCATGGAAAAGACTTTACCACTCAATTACTACTGTTAGTGTTGGGATGCATCAGATTGTGTATTTTAACTTTCATAGCAAATTTGTTGTGTCTGGTTACAATCACTTAGATGGATATAAATTTTCTGTGTGTAGCCACGTAGGAAAATTGTGAGGTATTGGACCTTTTTCTCATTCAACTGTTCTCATAAGGAAGAGTTAGAGTAGAAACTCACATCTCAGTTTGCTAACTGTTTCAATTAACTCTTTGTACACTACTGCAAACTAAACAATTAAGGGAAGTGAATCTCAAATAAAATGTTGAAGATTTCTTTGTGTACTTTTTTAGGTTTTAAAGTATTATAGCAATTTTTGCTGTGCATTTTTGAAAAGTGCATCTTTTAAATTAAAACATACTATTATTTTTCGGTAGTAAGCAATACTAGAATGATATTATGCTTTGATTATTTTATAAAAGTGTTTGAGGTTTTTTTGTTTCTGTTGCTGAGGTTATCCAAATTTCTCAAGTATTTTGTTTAACATAAATATGAGAAAAAAAATCTTTGTTAAAATTTTTCTTCGTTTGGCAATGGAGAGCACTCACTGTCTTCTGTAACATCTCATGACTGG